GGCCTTTAATTGTTATATTGGCTTATGGTTCAGTGGACAGAAGACCCCTCCACAAACTTGTTTACAACTTATCTTTTTGATTGCCAGCTCTAACTAATATAATTCTGGTATGAAAACACCTTCAAGAAAGGTAAAATGTATCAGTATTACAAAATGGGAAAAAATACTTCCTTTTTGCATGGACACCCTACTTCACACAATCTGGTTGTCTTGATAGTTAATAGCATCATCATTAATCTATTTTGTACCTGAAGCATATTAATTTATACATTTTTTTCAGGCTGTATCAAAAGGAAAAAGGAATTGAAGTTAAAACAATCAAACAATCAATTTATCTGTGGTGTGTCTCTACTGGTATTTATTTAATGTTTAAAATGTTATAAAAAGGTAATGTAGATTTTATGAAGTAGAAAGAAAAAATAGCCAGTCTACACATAAGTACAAGTATAAATTGCAAAATATATGTCAAAATGATGTACTGAAGAAAGATTCTTTGCTAGTGCAAATTTTCAGTAAAAGCCCTATGTGAATAACCTGTACTATAGGGTCTAGACACATTGTAAATATAAATTCATCCTGGCATAATGAACTCCTATTCCACCTATCTTCTGGAAACTTTATGCAGTGGTAACTAATTCCCACTCATCTTTTTTCCTAATGATTATGGTCACTGCCTACCAACTGATCTTCTTTTCCTTTGTAAAAAGATAACACCTGTCTGCACCAAGCAGCAAGGTGCAGAGATCACAGTCAGGTAGGCAGACACGGCCCTAATTACTGGGAAGTTAGACCCCCTGTTATTTGCCCTTTAGGCAGACACAGCCCTAATTAATGGGAAGTTAGACCCCCTGTTATTTGCCCTGCTATCACATTGAAAATGGCAATTGCTCATTTTAGCAGTCTTCCATAGCATCTCACATTAGCTTGGCTTCGTCTTTTAAAGAGTCAATAATCTTATAAATCTCTCCTATCTGCTCTGTAAGAGGCATCTCACATTAGCTTGGCTTGGTCTTAAAGAGTCAATAATCTTATAAATCTCTCTTCAACCGGACTGACATTAGGACCCATGTAACTGGGGCTTTTAATACCCAGTTAATTTAGTTCCTTTAAAAGTGTTAAGCCAGAGTAAGTCTTTTATGCTTTGAATATTTTTTGAAAGATTGCTGCAGCAGAGCCAAGAAGGGAATTCAGATTTCCTGAGCTTGTGGCCCATGGATATCACCCCAAGGCCACGTCTCTTTTTTTTATCTTCAGGCTTTGAAGTACAAAGACTCATGCACACAGACAGTGAGGTTTTGAATGCTGGCAGAGCCAAAACATTTAATGGAGGTGGAAACAACTCAAAGTCTGCTCTTGTGACAAGCTGGGTATGAAATCTTGAGATACTCCAAGAAATGATCTAGTGGATCATGACATGCTTCCCCAGCCATCTGTCCTAGGCCTTTGCATGCAGTGTAAATCACTGCATAACCTCAATGCTTACCAAATAATTCTCAGATAGGGAACTACAGTCTGCATTTGTAAATAGTGAAGTGAAGCAGAGAGAAGATAAATTATTTGCCGAGAGTTTGACAGAGTCTCTATTTTAACTGTGTAAGAGAGACAAAATAATCTGTGCAAATCTTCTCCTACTAGATACACAACAGAGTCAAATTTTTCACCCTCCTCTACTAAAAACCAGCTATAAAATACTTGGTAATTATAGGCACAAACCATGATTTTCATTCGATTCCCTCGGATAATTTTCAAGTGAAAAGATCACAAAACAGGTGGTTTGGGGATTGTTTGATATATACATTATTCTCCTAATGCTTGCATTACAAAACTTCCCAAGGTTCAGTGAACACTTTGCTGCTTTTCTTAGACAGCTGGTTAATTTGAGACATTTTACATAATCTGCCCTTTTCGGCAAATGTCAGTGAGTAAAGTTTTTGCCACCTTATTATATATGCTTCATGTGACTTTTTTCTGGAAAGCTATACTAACAAGGAATTTGTGTTATACTGTCCAAGCTGTCTCTCCTTGCTATAAACATCTGATATCTGGCACGCTCCATCTTGCTGCCTGCCTGATGACAAGGTTTTAAAAAGCTTTCAAAGGTGCTAAGGGAAAGACTTTAAAATGTATTTGCCTCTGTTAAAGAGAAAGATCAGGCGGTGTAGAATGCTTTCAGCTGCTAAATCGGACACTAAACCTTTTATCAGTTAAAGACGTCATGAAAAAACTTATTCAAAAAGCTTCTTTTTGCTGTTGTAAATCTAAGATTTAAGCATATTTTATTATTATCAATAGCTATATTCTACTCTATAACAAATATTAACCAGTAAAAAGAAAGCACCACTTAGACTTCCAACTGTTCAATTCCCCGAAATACATGAAAATATGATCCTTCACAGTGCATAATCTCTGTGGCTTTTATGCCCTGCTTTTTGCCAGGGTTTTCCTGGACAGTGAGAATTATCTCTCTCAGATGGCTGCTGTGCCAGTTTCATTAACTGTTCTCAGGTAATAACTGTAGCACTCAACGAAGTTGCATCTATTCTTCAGGTATGCCTATCTCCCAGGAAGAAAAACGTAATGTTATTCTCACTTTTCTACATGTTCTTTCAGATCTAGATATTCTCTGATAAAGAGAAAAAGCTATGCAACTAATAACAATAATTTTTAAAAATCACAAATAAAAATATGCTACAAATTAAAAAAAAACTTTACAAATAAAAAGAAAGGAAAAAATAGATGTAGAACTTCTATTTTTTTTCTTAAAAATCTTACATAGCTGTCAAGGATATCTGCCCTTATCAGGATGCTCTCTGACAAATGCAGGCAAATGTAATCATGGTAAAATAAAGCCAACTTCATGCACATGTGTAGCAATATGAGGAAGTCCAAAGGTGTATGAACGGGTCTTTGACACAGAAATGAGTGTTTGGGAAATTAGATAAATAATCACAGCCTTCTCTTCTTTTCTAATGATAAGAGTTAACCTGTTTATATTGCTGCTTCTCCTCTGTTGTCTGTTAAGGAGAATGATATAGCAGGAAAACCTGTTTCTCTGTTGCATCCTAGTACCAAGAGTCTTCAACATGGGATGGTTTACTGGATGCTTTAGGATGGCCTTGGGATTAGGAGTCCAGTTCCATGCTTCCATTTTGTGCTGGCTTAAAACTAATGATTCTGGGGAGGTTATGCCTGATTTACTGAAAGAAAAGTAGGTCAGAGCTAAAAACCAAATCCACAGAGTTATTTAGGTATTTACTCATAGGGGATATACTCCTCTGTTTATATGAATTAGGTGCCTATGTGAATGCTTTTAGGACTGCAGAGAACAGATCTAGAAGAGGATTCCTAACTGTAGGCATCTCATCTCCATATAATCACATGGGAAATAATGCTTCATTTGGCTTTATAAAAAAACAACCATGATATTAAGATACCTGTGGAAGGTAAAAAAACCCCAGAGACACGATGGTATTGGATGAGATAAGATTCTGTTACACTGTTCTTACCTGGGAGCAAGGCTGTGACAGCATCTTACTACTTGTTGCTTCACTGTATGCAGCTGAGAAAAGCAATACTGACTTTCTATGTACCTGCTCCTTGTAAACAGAATCACAACCCATGCCATGACTGCTACACAATGTCTTCATAACCTCTTAGAAAAAGCAATAAACAGCCTCTCCTCAGGACCTTCTCTACCCCAGAAATAGTTCAATTTAAAAACCACTAGCTTAGTAACACCCTCCTAATTAACAGTAAGTGGGACACCTGCTGTGAATAACTCCTGATGGACAGAAATAAAATAAAAAGGAAATTATTTCTCTTCTTCAGTCACAGAATCACAGGATGGCTGAGGTTAGAAAGGACCTCTGAAGTTCATCTGGTCCAATCCCCCTGCTCAAGCAGGGCCACCTAGAGCCAATTGCCCAGGACTGAATCCAGACAGCTTTTTCAGTATTTCCGAGGATGGAGACTCCATGATCTCTATGAGCTACCTCTGACAGTGCTTGGTCACTCTCTCAGTAACAAGTGTTTCCTGACGGTCAGAGGGAACCTCCTGTGTTTCAGTTTGTGCCCATTGTCTCTGCTCCTGTCACTGGGCACCACTGGGAAGAGCCTGGCTCTGTCCTCTTTGCCTTCCCTTCAGGTATTTGCACACATTGATGAGGTCCCCATTGAGCCTTCTCTTCTCCAGGCTGAACAGCCCCAGCCCTCTCAGCCTTTCCTCACAGGAGAGATGCTCCAGCCATCTGATCATCTTTGTGGCCTATTAATGGATTATATCCAGTATGTCCATGTCTCTTGTACAGTGGAACGCAAAACTGGACACTACTCCATGTGTGGCCTCACCAGTGCTGAGTAGAGGGGAAAGATCACCTCCCTTGACCTGCTAGAAATACTTTGTCTAATACAGCCCAGAATACCATTTGCCTTCTTTGCAGAGAGGGAACATTGCTGGCCCATGTTCAACTTGGTGTCCACCAGGACCTCCATATCCTTTTCCACCAAGCTGCTTTCCAGCTGGATGTTCCCCAGTATACACTGGTGCATGGGGTTGTTCTTCCCCAGGTGCAGGCCTTTGTTATTGAAATTCATTAAGTCCCTGTCAGCTCATTTCCCCAGGTCACTCTGGATGGCAGCATGACCTTCTGGCATATCAAACACTCATCCCACATCCCAGTTTTGTGTCATCAGTAAACTTGCTGAGGGTACACTGGACCCCATTCATCCAGATCTTTAATGAAGATGTTAAGCAGAAAAATATTGACCCCTGGGGTACACACTATTTACCAGCCTCCAACTAGACTTCATGCCACTGATCACCACCCTCTGGGCCTGGCAGGTATTTCTACAAGGTGCAGAAGCACTTCACTTGTGCAGTGTGGAGCCATTTGACACAGCCTAGCTTCCTTCTTGGACTTGTTTTCTAAAATCAACCTGATGTATTTTTTTTTCCATTCTCAAGTACAGAGAGTAGCACTTTGTAAGATGGGGACACTTACTCAGTATTGTGTGTATCAATCGTGTTAAAAAGTTCATGTAGTTCTTCTCCACTCAGAACTCCGTCAGCAAAGTAAGCTTTGAATTCATCAAAGGACAGTTTTCCATCATCTGAAACAACAAAGAAATGGAAAGTGCCTTAGTTTTGTTTATGGTTTTGCTGTTTACTTCATGCAGTAGAAGAGGTAGTTATTAAAATACCCTAGCTCTTCAAATTAAGTGTAGAAATTTTACATATTTGATGAATACACATAAAGAACATGACGCTGAGTGCATCAGCTGTTGTATCAGAGTTCTCAGTTTGCCTGGTAACTGTTATTTTTCCTCCTTCTCATCTTTCAAGCAAAGATAGTTGGTTTTGGTAAGTCTCTACTCAAAAACACATCAATACAATCCTGTCTTTGCCCTAATCTCATTCACTGTGGCTTCTCCCTGTTGTGCCCCATGCTTCCCCTACTTGGTCCCTGCCAGTGTCCTTGCCTCTGCATGGAAGATCAGTGACATTCCAAGACTGAGGAGGACAGAGAAAATCCAGGGAAATGCAACAACAAACATTTGTTGAAGAAACATGTTAGTTCAATGAAAACTTCTTCGGCTATCTAGACCTATCTATTTCCCTTTCCTTCTCCTCCTCTTTCTTTCCTCTGCTCCCTGTCTCCCACATGGGAGACAGACTCAAGTGCACAATTCAATAACAGAAGGGATCTGCCCCTGGCTCCCCTCTCTAGTAAAGACACTAATCAATACACTGCACTGATTTGCAGCATTTTGATTGTTCTTTCTTCATAAAACATATTTCTCAAAAAGCTCTCTCCTTGCTGCAGAATTATACAAAATAAATAAAAGAAAGTTTGATTTTCATGCCATAGGAAGCCAACTTCATGTCCTCTTCCACTGGAAAGAATTTTAGCTCATTTTCTTGATCAGCATAGAAAATAAATTCCTATTTGCCAGCATGTAATCCGCGCCTGGAGATTACACCAAAATTTAGGAATGAGAAAACTGTTTTGGATATATATCAGAGGTCAGTAAAAATCCTCAGATGGATTTTCAGATGGAGTTTGGGTTGGCCATGTAATACACAGTGAAGCCCAACTATGAAGAAGTTGACTTTATCTACTAAGCATCTACTGTTCTCATTTGCTTGGGGCAAAGCCAATCGTCACCACATGGGTCCTGATCATCATCAATAACATGTTCATGTAGTTAGGAAATGTCTACAGGACTAATGAGACTCGAAGAGGGCAGTAATACCATATGATAACACTTAGAAGAACAGCAATGGGTTATACGTTAATCAAAGAGGAGTAAATCCTTCTTACAGTCTCTACTACATTATTTAATGGAGTCTGTTTCATCTGTTTCTTAATTTTGCTTTAATTATAGCAAACCCTTGACTACATGAGGCAAAATCCTTGAGCTGAGAAGTGTTAAGCAGAGATTAATTCATCTGGTATTTTCAGGATGCTACCACTTCAGACTGAAGCTTTATCCTTCTTTTGTCAGATCAAACTCGGTGCAGCCATCAATGCTTTCTAAAGGGCATTCCAATAAAAACCATGGCATTTCATTGAAGAAGGGATCATATTTGTATCTCACCTCATCTATACATGTCTGAAAATCCCAGAGAAGGCGATATACTGCAGACTTTCTATGTTTTGTTTTTGTTTTTGGTTTTGGTTTTTGGTTTTGAGAAGTGACATCAGAAATGGATAAAATACACTGCAATTTGGACAGTCTGTCCCACCCACAGGGTGTCCAGGGTGGCTGTGACTGCAGTGACAGAAATGGCAGACTTCGGCTATTGTCTGTTTTTTGAAAGTAGGACTCTCAGATGAAAGGAGCATTAGACTCTGTTGTATAGTCAGATCACAATGACTATTTAAACAACATATGACAGTCAGCACAACTAATTTGTTCCTGTGTATAAACTGAGTGGGGAAGTGGACCCTTCAGAACGGAGAGCTACCTGCAGGAAAAGAAGGCTTGGGGGAGACCTTATCACCATGTTCCAGTATTTAAAGGGTGGCTACAAAGAAGACGGTGACTTCCTTTTTACAAGGAGTCACATGGAAAAGATGAGGGGTAATGGGTACAAGCTAATCCTGGGGGGACTCTGACTGGACACAAGAGGAAAATTTTTCACAATGAGAACAATCAGCCATTGGAATAATATCCTCAGGGAAGTGGTGGATTCCCTAACATTGGACACTTTATGATTTAGCTGGACAGGGTGCTGGGCCATCTTGTCTAGATGGTGGTTTTGCCAAGCAAGGTTGGACCAGATGATCCTTGAGGTCCCTTCCAACCTGGTATTCTACAATTGCGTGATACGAATCAAGGCTGAGGAGAAGGAATCAATTAAAAGAAGAAATGTAAGATAATTTTGTTTGCTGAAATGCACTAGAGCCTGCATGGGGCTTTGAAAGACATTGTACAGAAGGTGATGCAAGAAACCAACTAATGCTTGTCAGCAGGATGTTAAAAGAGTGAAAGCAAGAAGTTTGTAAATGGAAAGCTGACCATACAGAAGTCCACAAGATTTCATCAGGGATCCCTCAACACCAGCTGACATTTGCTTCTGTCCTGAAGAGCAAGTGTCCTCTGTTCTTTGCTTTACAGGCATGAATTCATAAGCGCATGGAGGAAAATCCGTAAGTCCATTAAAACAGTTATGGCAATTTGTTCCTCATTGGCTAGTGTATCTGAGTGAGTTTTAAATGCACAATTGATAGTCAACAAACAAAAGCCAAAGAAAAAACATCCACCTTTTGCTTGCACTTAGAAATTTGAATGGTTAAAGAGTAGTTAAGTAATAATCTAAACTGATTGACCCTTTGTATAAAGCACAGAGAATATTTTCAGAGCCTAACACTTCATAACTCTGTTTTGGGTAGCACTAAATTTAAGTTCATGTGACTCTTTCTCTTTCTTCAGTAAGATACTGAATCACTCATAGGGCACTAAACAACTGTAGAGGATAAGACTAAGATGTTCTAAGCACCAGACAAACCTACAACATATTGTGGCCTAATTTTATAGTAGTGAAGAATCTGTTATAAAGACAGTATCTGAATCCTGTAACTCCATGCTGTACTACAGCATACAGATTTAGATTTACAAGAGTAGAGCAGAGGATTTTCCTCACTCTTTTACTTGCTCCTATGTCATAATTTCTTTGACTTGAATATAAGGCTACAAATACACTATTTTCAAGAGGTTTTAAAAATTGGACAAATTGAATGTCTGCTTCAATAAAAACATTTTGAAAGTTTAATATGAAAAGACAGATTGTAACTGGAGATAATAATCATTATGATCAAAATAAAATGTCAAGATCTACAAGAGCTACAAACCAAGACGGCACAACACTGTGTCGAAGATAGGCAATTTTCTTTGACAGAACTGCCATGATTTCCTAATTGGGAATCTAAATACATCTGCCATTTGTCACTGGTTACAGAGAAGGAATACCAAATACTGAGCATGTAAAAATGAACTGCTTTTCTTTGGCTCATACAGATAGAATTGGTTGTTTAATAAAAATGACTCTGCATCTTTAGCCTTTGCTGGGAAGGGTGATTGGCATGCAAGTTATATACATACTCAAGAAATGTGTTTTTTTGGCAACTTTCTTGAGATAAACATATTATGAGTTTACTCATAGAACAGTCTGGGTATGACACAAAACCTGAAACATCTGTCTTTATCTCTGTTCTTCAGGATCATTGGCTTTACATCAATTCAGAAAATCAATGATCTGCCAACAGCCAGATTGGGCACATTATCTATTTTCTTTAAATTTTATCATCCAAGAGCAGACATTGCCCTTTGCTTCATTGCTGTTTATTCTCCATAGTATTTTGGATGTTATTGACATTGACTAACACATCACTGAGCTCGTTGCTGGCAAAACCCAAAGCGGTTTGCACCTATTCAGTTACTTACAGACTTCATACAGTTAATGTTTACTGAAAGAAGCTCTGATTCCTTAGGGCATTTCTCTGATTTTGTATGAGTGTAACTGTTTTTCTAGTGCAGCTGGAGACTCAGCCCCTGGTAGCCCAGGCCACCCCTGTGCTTCCTAAGTGCTCAGATGAAGCTCAGACCCAACCCCTAACAACTGCTCCTTGTGCTGTTTAATTGAAGGCATGTTTGCCTAGCCAGGTTTGTTTCTTTTTTTTTCCAAGTGTCAAGAATGGCTTTTATTTTAGAGGCTGTACTGCATATCCTCAGCACCGCTTCCCTCAGGCGCACCTTGCTGCCCTCAGAGTGCCCAGATAAATCCTGTCTGGTTTAAGTGCTTCAGGGCAGCTGAGCAGAAACCTCTATTATAGATGCTTCAATCCTTGCCACAGACAAAGCGACAGCGGATGGATGATTCATGAAAGATAAATTTCTCTGAAGCCATGCATCCCTCAGACAAATCAACCTTCAGCAATGCCTTGGCAACATTATCTCAAAGAGCCTGTTTCACAAGCCTTTTGTGTATCTTGTCTGGCATCTTTCAAAAGCAGGGTTTCTTCAAAAAATAGGCACAGTTGCTTTTCCTCCTTAGAGCCAAAACACTCCTGACTTGCAGGCAAAAATACAAACAATAAAATGAATCCTCCCATGTAGCACTTGCAAGTTTAGGAATATATTTACATGGTGTTTTAGGGGAGCCTTCCTTCAGGTTACAATTGCATTCTTACATTTATTTCAGTAAAATTCACCTCTCTATTGAACAGATGTTTTTATGTGTAAAATAGGCCCAAGTCATATCCCCCAGCCAGCCTGCTCTAGAACCACTAGTAATCTCCAGGACACGTTTTGAATAGCTGATGATTTCTATCGACAACAGCATACTGACGAAGGAAAGCCACACACATACTCTCTTTCTGAGTTGAAAGACGACTTCAGTAAGTGAAAAGGTATCAAGCAAATAATGAACAAGGGCACATACATATTTGGAGTCTGTGTGCCCACAAATGATGGCAAATAGTGAGTCTGCAGCCAGTGAAGGAAGTTATGGTGGTGTAGAGAAGCAGGATGTCTTGCAGAGATGACAGCAAATGCTGGAGGGCAACAAAACAGTTTCTACTCCCACCTATTTCAGGCTTCTTGTTAGG